AGAATTTCGCGTCACGATTTGAGACGCAGATATTCAAATTCATTAGTCATCGATGCAGGCTCTCAATTCAGCTTGAGAGCCTGTTCGCAGGCTATGTCAAGCTGATTTTCCACTAGGCGAGTTCGTTCACGCGAAGCGAAAATATAAATTCGGCATTGAAAAAAATTCACCGCGAAAAAATACAAACCGATCGTTCACCAAGTCAAAAGTGGAAAAGCGGCCTCAATGGTACCTGATCATTGTCATCTGTGCCAGAGAGCATGACTACGATGTTTGATTTCTTCTCCATGATCATTCGCCAGAAGTCGTTCACAGTCTCTTCAAGTGGACCTTGTGCAGCAATATACGTACGACGTTGTTTATAACCCTGCATGTATAATGTGATAAAACATTTTGTCACTGAGATGTACAAGAGAGAAGAACGTGATATTTTATATACACCAGATACATAGATATCTTATATAAGATATCTAGGACTAGATAGCGCATCTCTTAGTAAAATTGAAGCCAAGAACATTCCAGCGGTTACCCCCATTTGAATATGGCGGCCATGTTGGTGGTTCCCACTCGCTAATAAACGCTTAAAAAACAACAACTTTCATCATTTGAATAGTTTAAAAACGTATTTGGAATAAGTTTAACTTGATGTTTAAGTTCACTATTTAAGAAATAGAAAACATACGAATCTTCTCATTTCGTGGGAATATCCTGAGTCTGCAATCACGGCTTCAATTTTTGAATTGCAGATAATTAGATGCACTACCTAGTTTATATAAGATATTTATGAGATCATAGTACAAAAGGAATGGATAATACATGGCAGGTAAGTTTTAAGGCCCGCTCAAAAGGATCCCAACAATCATGTTGGCCCAGAGTCATGCAATAACGTTGAAATATTAAGTTCAACTATGCCTTTTTTTCAAACCTTTTTAATAAGGACATTTACCCAAATTGAAAATCTTTGCTTTAAAATATTTGTGAAAGAAACGGCATAAAACATTGTTTGAAAATTGTTGAATGGTGTTTGGTCAACAATGTTATAATTGGGTCCGCTTGAACGGGTCCTTAGAGGTAACCCAACACAAAGAATGGATTTTCACATTCAGTGGAACCCAAAGGTAAACCTCTGTCAGTCAAAACAAGGCTTAACTTTTGAAACCGTTTTCATAAAACGCAACCAAAAGTTTAGTTAGTCCCATTATTTTGCAGAAATTTCAACTAATAATTTTGACCTTGATATACAATTTAAAATGTGTTATCTTTCTTGCATACCAAACGTTGCATCCAACCGAAGTGAATGCAGAAAAATACTTACATCAATATAACTGGCATTAATATAATTTGATCCATCAACACTTCGTACTGGGACAAGATCAACTCGGGAATGTTCATCTAGACACGTAAGATGAAAAGTATGTTTATTGAACACTGCTGGTAAAGATTAGTATCCCAAAGGTTGCGGGTTCGATTCCCACCGTGGTCAGGCAAACTTTTCTTGCTTGCCCTATTCTGGACGGCAAATTATTTACATTTATGTATAGCTAAGGCATGCTCAATGGTTACAAATACAACAACTTAGTTCTTACATGGAATAATCTTTGGGTATCTATTCTTTGATTTGTTCGCAGCAAGGATGGGGGTGACAAACCGATGTGTGTGACAAAATACACTTAGTTGCTACAGAAAAAGAAAATTTAGTTGGTTTGGTGAACACAATGTTGTAATATGATGTGTACAAAAAAGAAATTATAATACAGTGGATATTGAATTGGTAAATCTAGCTTCACACAATGGCAGAATTATAGCAGAACGCACACATCATGTACACACGCTATATATTCTTTCTATCGTTCACACGCACACTTAAAGGACATTTTAATATCACCTAGCGACAGAGACGTCATTACCTTGAAATGTTCTTCGATGTCGTAGTTTCATTCACACCAATTTCATTGAGTTTCTTGTAATATTGTGAAAGATCAGATGCATGTATTTCTGTGTTACCAAATAACACTGCTTCTAGTAAGGTTTCATGAATAAATATATATTGTTCCTAAAACATGAACGAAAAACAAATAAGGACAAACTCTCATAGGTCCGAGCCGAAGTTAATTTCCTAATCGGCCTCATCCCGCCCTGGGGACGAGGATGAATCGACCTACAAAGTATATACACTCTATAATAGTTTTGTTTGTGGAAACACCACGTAAATTTATTATTGCAGTAATCTAATTTATTATTGCAGTATTTTATCGCCATGCAAACATACAAAGAACTTATATACACTCTGTTAAACTTACGGTATGCAATGTGCAAGTGAACAATGTAGAAACAAATTGTGGGTCCCCAAATACATTGCAGCTCCATTTATACATATACATTTTCCAGATAAAATTTACTCTGAATGGGGCTAACTATTAAACTATTGGGGCTTATCTATCAATTTGCATTAAAGGCAATGCTGCACTTAATTAAATCCTGCTAGATCAATGAGTCGATAAAATCTCTGAGATAAAACATGGGTTAAACAGAGAGGGTTAGGAACCTATAAACATAGCCTGCGTGGCAAACGGTCAAATCTCGTACCCGCTAATACGGCCAGCTTCGCAGGCTACTATAAACAGCGAGACTTGTTTTCACTGCAAAGATCGTGTACACATCTAGGTCCCACTATATTGCCCCTAATATGATATCCATACTCCATAGTGCGACAGGATTTCCGTGTCAATACAGGCAGATTAAAAGGGCTAGGGAATTGTAATATCCGACACTTTCTCTATACGTCATCTTGACTATACGTCATCTATACGTTAAGTTCTCAAACACTTTTGGGCTGTTTAATCGACTTCTTACATAGATTTTAGCGAATCGCCTCAGTCATGAAAAGATATTGTACCTCCGTTTGAACCATGTGATTTCTTTGTGATCGAAGTAGTGTCACGTGACCGTACACGTCAACAGACTGTTCTCGACGCATTTTTTCAAGCATAGAATCTATGACAATAAACACTCCTGTTCTGCCAACACCAGCACTTCATGTAAGAAAAATGAGGAAAGGAATTGTCAGAACGTACAAGTAACCATAATTACTGCAGGTAAAAGAAAATGAAACCAGACAGACCTACATATCACTGAAGACAATCATAGTTTCAAAATAGAGGCATATTTTAAAGGACTCCATCTATGGTTATACTCTGGAACTTCCATTTATCAGATACTCTATCTGATAGACATCCCTAACCAACAACTACGTCGCAGTTCACAAACTGCACGCCATTATATTAACCCCACCTCTATCCAGCAGACAACCCTAATAAACAGACATTTCAAACGCTCCCTGAGACAATTTTGTTTCAAATATCCAATCTTACCTGCAATGAACAATGACTGGTCCTGCGTCAGATGGATTTGCTAACCTAACTTTCCTAATGAAACATAATAATGATGTAGAATAATGTGGCACGCCGTGATCTGGCCAGGCTGTGTATTGATACTGTTTGATCTCTCTAGATTTGTCGCTTTGACCATCCTGTAAAATTAATTTGTAGAGTATTTTATATAACAAATATTGTCAGATATATCCAAAACTAAGGTAAAGTACACTAGCTTTATTTATACTCAATATCCCTAACAGTTCTAGACTGTTCTCCCAATTAGGTCCAATACTGCCAATACCTTAATGGTCCAGTGCTGTGACAGGAAAACGGTATTTAGCGAGCCGTAACAAGCTTTTCAGATGTAATAGACTCTTTCGGAAAGTAAGTCATTTTGGCTATAGAGCCTCGTTTTCGGGTATTCTGACATTAGTTAAAGCCTAATATCTCGATCACGAAAACGAGGCTCTATAGCCAAAGTGACGTACTGAGGCAGAATTATCATACAACTTCATACTGCAGAATTTGAAGTCAGTCTCAGAGGTTAAAATGAGATACACTGTGATAGAACACTGTACGACACATACACTAGGCCTGTCGAGAGGACCCACTGAACTATTATAATAAATCTTCTATGGGAGTATCATCATATATTGCATGATATTTCATGAACATGTACACTAGTTATGTATACAGTATTTACCTTGCATAGTCTAAACGTACGAACTGTGTAGTGCGCCAATTCCACAGTCTCTAACACAACAACAGATATATTACCAAATTTCTCTGAAGATTGGTTAGGCCAATACTGGTCACATTTTATCTGCAAATGAAAATTGATGCTGGTCAGTACAGAATTACATAATAACTACGTAATGCGAGTTACCCGCGAGTTACACTCAGTCGAATTGTTGTAATTTATTATTTAACACTCACTCTGCCTTTCTCTTGTAAATTTGTCATCATGACAATTGTCCGGGTATCTTGTTCCCATATCATTTGCCAGAAGTCATTGATTGTGTTGGTCAGTGGAGCTACATGAAACAAAATTTGATTTACACGCTTCGTGTGAGGTTAGGGTTTGTGTAAAGGTTGAACATTATACACTTAATGTCTGCACCAGAGGGAAATAGTTAGTTTTGTTTTTCCGAGAATCTCAATGTTTCCCGAGACGAAGTCGAGAATAAATTTGTGCCGCCATTTTTTTATTTATGTACGTAGCCGGTCGGGGCGGGCAACAATTTTTCACTTATGTTTGCGATGTTACTCTGAGTGCATATCCACACCGGGCGAGCTTGAAAATATGCCCGGCCACGGTGGGATTCGAACCTACGACCTTTGGAATACTAGCCCAATGCTCTTCCAACTGAGCTACGCGGTCAGGACGGTTCGAGTAAGTGATATTTCGGAACGGTATCTAGTTCCTTCAATACCAATGTGTTCTTGTAATATGAATTTTTTCTGTGCTGGTGTTGTGTACTCAGGTGAATAATATGTTTGTGATGTTACTCTGAGTGCATA